ATCTAAAGAAGGAATTGAATTAATCAAACTAATAAAATGAACGTAACTAATCCAACTCATTTTTATTCTTTTTTAAAAAAACCTGCCCTCAAAGATTCTTCGTCATTTTGATTTTGGTCGAAGGTGGCACCAGATGAGTGACAGGGCAGCAGGGGGCAGCAGAGAGGTGCTGTTACCTTCTCATCAGCTGCCACAGCAGAGCGAGGGTGAGGGTTCGATTCCCTGCATTCAGGTCCTGACCCGCGATTCCAACCAGAGAGAATTTGGCCTCTTTCTTACCGAGCTCCACGGCGTAGTTACAGTTCTCCAGCTGCCAAACAAACAGATGTTTTCAGGAGCTGATCGATTTCCAACCTTCTCTGTAAACTTTACTGAACGTCTCGTTTCAACATGTGGAAGTTTGAAATCAGTTGTTTGATTCGTGGAACCGTGTCGTACCTTCTTCATGTTGCTGCCCAGCTTCTGATACGGAGGCTTGTTGACTCTGTCCCAATCGACCGGAACCTTGATCTTCTCGTACAACTGGAAGATCACGAGCGCGTCGTCAAGATCTCTGGAACACACACACGTTTCAGATCACCGCCTCGGGACTGTTCACGCACTAGCATTGGTACCACGTGTGTTACTGGAGGATTCCAGTAGGGGGCACACCACATAACTCAGATTAAATATTGCAGAGTGCAATCTTCGATGTTGGCTTCGTTTGCAGTAAACCAACTAAACCAAAGATGGCGACATTCGAGGAGATCAACGTTAAGATCTTGAGAGAGAAGGCGACGACACATCAAACACGTGGGTAATTCAGCTCCTCTTCAGAACTCGCCGCCATTTCCGTGGCTAATGACGTTTCTTGATAACCCTGTCAACGACGCTACTGCCCCGACCGACTGTGGCCGGTTTTGCATCTTTCATATGCATCGTATTAATTTCTGAGGACGTTCACAACCAAACGATCTCAGAACGTTACATGACCTTTCCTCTAGCACGTCCCACAGGGGACTGCAGAGGGCGCTGCTCAGTAAATGTGAGTCATTTTCTCATGGTGATGAAAAGAAGAAGAGCGGTGGTCGTTCTTACACGTATAAGTGGTTGACACGAGGGTTGACGCCCAGCGAGTTCATCCAGTTCCTGAAGGTTCGCTCCTCCCTCGTCTCACCTGCATGAAAACATCAGTGCACTGATTCAAGAACACAGGAAACACGCACACGCTAAGATCATGTGATCAGAGGTTAGTAGAGATCAGAATTCATCGGAACCTTCGATGGAGCTCCAGTCGATGTCCTGGTTCTCTGGTTTCTTCAGAGCCGGGTACTTGTTGAACAGATTAGCAACAAAAGCCAAGTTTAGTTTGGGGTTTCCTCTGACGACATCCGGCGGCATGACGAACTGTCGGCAGCCGAGGCGGTCGGCCTGGTCCAGCATGCACTCTGCTCGCTTCAGGTCGTCTTTCTCCTGCAGAGACGACGAGCACGACGTCAAAATACAAAGAAGTCTGACATCGTATCAACGAGATCCAGTCTCATGGTCTAGAATCAGTTTTATCAAAAACCTCCTGTCTTTAAATGTCAGAACGTCATCGAATAGAATAAATTAATAAATGTAAGAATCTATCAAATCCAGCTGGATTCTCTTGGTCTGTTTTTTAAAGGGATCAATTCTTCCTTTTTGGATGATTACATATCAATAATCATTATTATATCATGTGACTGTGATTTCGTAGCTTCTCACCCTGAGCCCTGACAGGTCGATGGCGATGGGGGGGGTCCCCTCCTCGTCTCCTTTGGGCGCCACCTGGTTCAGAAGGTTGTAGTACGCCCTCGAGTCCTGGAACAAACACGCAGAGAGAAGATGTTTACAGCTTCACACTGAAGTTTAACTGAGGACGCAGTGAAGCCACATGACAAACTGTGTGTGTCTCTGTGTGTCTCTGTGTGTGTCTCTGTGTGTCTCTGTGTCTCTGTGTGTGTCTCTGTGTGTCTCTGTGTGTGTCTCTGTGTGTCTCTGTGTGTGTCTCTGTGTGTCTCTGTGTGTGTCTCTGTGTGTGTGTGTGTAAACCTTGATGTCAGAGCTGAAGTTGTTGATCTTGCTGCAGCCGGCCTCCTCCAGGTGATAATTGGCCCAACGCAGCAGCAGCTCTTCAGGTGACAGTTTCATCAGATCCTCCAGACTCTCTCCATCCCGCAGGAGGGCGATCAGAGCTACACACACACACACACACACACACACACACACACACACACACAGTTATAATTACATCAATGGAACAAGTTCTTGTAAAGTCAGCGAGACATGAAATGTATTATTATTTGGACACACACCTTCGTTCCTGCTGAGCTCGATGTCGGCGAACAGCCCGATCTTGATGACCTGCCACAGCAGACCCAGGACCAGGTGCTGCCTGCCCTCCTTCAGGTCCTCAGCTCCTATGTTGACCACGTGGCAGCCGATGGCCGAGGCCGAGTTCAGAGCCAGGTTCAGGTTCTCCTGAGGAGACGTCAGACGTAAAGAAGTTGAGAGAGTGGAGGTTTTATCATGTTCAGATCAAACTGAGGAGTCCTCACCTGGATGGTGAAGGGTGTGAGCTTCTTCTTGTTGATGGTTCTCTCATCGATGGTGTCGGGGACAGAGAGGTTGATCATCTTACTGAGGACACCACGTCCACGGTCAGAGACACAGAAGAAAACACGAAGCCTTCAGACTCTGGTTCTTTGACCATCAGGTTCTAACTATTTGATGGAATCATCTTCTAAAGTTTCCTCTAGCGCCATCATCAGGTCATTCCAGACTGTCACACAGTTTCAGTTCAATCAGCCTGAAAATAAAAACGTACCAGAGAACGATTCCGTCTCCCATCCCAGTGAACAGGTCGTTGTTGTTGGGATCCATCGGCAGGACGTGTTTACAGTCGACATCTTTCTCCAGAGCTTTATTGATCCAGTTCACGAACGCCACCTTCTCCTCCTCTGGAGACAAACATCAGGAAATCAAGTATCAATAAATCAAAGCTGAAGAACTTTTATTCATGTTCGGATTGTGCAGCAAAACCTGTGTGTGTGTGTGTGTGTGTGTGTGTGTGTGTGTGTGTGTGTGTGTGTGTGTGTGTGTACCTGAGTAGGAGTGTGTGGTGCCGGACTGCTCTGACGTTCCTGCCACGTTACAGA